GAAGGCGGCTGCACGTCATCGCGCCCCATGGCGGTGTCTCAGCCATCGGGAGAGACGGTTTTGCCCCGAGCCCGTTGGAGCGATACCTTCATTATCGAAACCGCTGCAATTACGCTCGGCGAGAAGGCTGTCAGGTTTATTAATGCCAGGCTCAGCGCCCCGCGGCGCCGTGATTCATCCCGAACAAAACACGCAAGCGAGCAGAGGGGTCGCTCCCTCCCCGCGCCCACGGAGCCCAGCGCTGGCTCTGCCTGCCCGCGGGACAGCGGGAGAAAACAAAACAGCCCTCCTCCTTCTTCCCGCGTCAGATATTCAGGCCTTTGCTCTCCCCGAGGCGTTTGTAGGCTCTGGAGCCGGCGTGAAGCCCCCATGTCGGGAGCCGGGGGCGGCGGGAGCGTTGGGTGGGTTGTCGTCGTGGCTGGATGCGGTGGCCGGTGCAGGACGGGGAGGTTTTGGGGTCGTGGGCTTGGCTGCAGAGCCCTCGCCGCGGGCTAGCTGCCTGGGAAAGCCCCGGGGAGCAAAATCCCTGCTTCTTTCAGGGGGTAAAAGAGAACAAATGGAAAATAAAAGCTCTTTAGAAATAGTTGAGAGATGTCTATGGGAAAATGGGGGGGGATCACCTTGGCTGCCGACCACGGCACAGCGAGGGCGGGACTGTTCGCTGAGCCGGCACAAGGGGATCCCGGCCAAACCCTGTCCCAAGGCGGGATGGGATCGGGACCGGTTTCTCCTACGTGCCCTGGCAGCAGCCCGGCCCCCGCCGGCACGGCAGAGCCTGGCAAAGCCCCCCTGCCAGCCCCCCTGGCCGGCACAGCGGGGAGCGGGGAGATGCGGGGAGGGCAGGGGACGGGTTACGGGAGGCCAAGCAAGCCCTGATCCACCTGGTTGCCCTTGATCCAGCCCAGGCAGCCCCCGGGGGCACCGCGGGATGAATTAACGGGTATTAATGAGCGTACCCTTCCCGAAAGCCATCCGGGAGGGATGCTCCGGCTGCAGCTGCCTTATCTCCCCGCCTCGCTCCCGCTCTCCGGGGACGGCGAGCATCCCCTCTTTTGTCAAAGGGCTCGCTTGGCAAGCGCTTTGCTTGGCTGGCAGCGGGAATGAAAGGAGGCGAGGGGAGCGAGGAGGAGGAGGAGGAGGAGGAAGCAGGGGGCTGTTTTGTTTGGCGATGACCTTGTCGTCTCCCTCAGCAGGCAGCTGCTCCTCCAGGCCGGAGGCTCGCGCTTATCTGCCCTGCCGTAGACTGATTCACCTCACTGATCTGCCGCCATGTGGTCGAGTATTAATTTCCAATTGTTATTTTTTTTGTGATTATTTTTTTGTGAGTTTGGGGCTGGGGAAGCTTTGGGCTCCGTCCCGCCCAGCGATCGCTCTTGCCAGCCTCCTCTCTCCGGCGCAGACACCATGCAGGTTCAACCCTCCGCCCCGCACACGAGGGGGAAGCACCGGGTAGGGGCTCCTCCTCCAAATGCACTAAAAATCACGCTAATAAATAAAACCCTCTGTAAACGCCCTGATGGGAGCCTAGAGACTGTTGCGGCCACGCAGCTGAGAACTAACAGCCCGTCGCCTCCCCGACCCTGCCCCGCTGTTGCCATCTCACATTGCTCCCAGCAAGGAGAAAGAGAGGGGAAAAAAAGATCAGTTGTTTCTCCTTATTGCTTCGTTAATGTGCAAAATTATTTGCAATTGATTTTATATACAGGCAATTTGCAGTCTTGGAGGCAACGGGAGCCTGGGGATTTTGCACTCCTTGCTTTGATGGTTTTCCCGCATGAGAAAATGGTTAAAAAAAAGGACCGTAACCCAAAATACAAAGCATTTAAAATAGCATGACGACATCTGGCCCCACGCGGTCCTAAGGGGACACGGCGAGCAAAATCG